GACACAGGAGCCCCCAGATATCTGACACGGAGACTCCCACAACGCCCCCTGTGGCACAGGCTGCCCCTGCCCAGGATCCCCTCAGGACAATGTGGGACATCACGCTCAGCTGGACACTGGGACCTCTGCAGTCACTGGACACTGCTGCCCTGGCCACACAAAGGGACCTGCCCCACAAAGCTCACAGGAGTCCATGGGGACCCCCCAGGACACCACTCCCATGGGAAGGGCATAGGGACTCTCTCATTCCCCCCAGCTGGCCCTGCCCCAGGCACAGCTCTGGGAGCAGGAGCCCCAGGACAGCCCCCTCAGCCCTTGGAGTATGCATGGCCTTCCCAGCCCCCCGGACAAGCCCACCCCAGACCTCAGACCAACACTTCAGAACACCCCAAATCCCCTCAGCCCCCAGTACAGCCCCATCCAGCCTCCATCCCCTACCCCACTCACATCATAGAACGCATCACCAAGCCCTTGCTTCTGCAGCTGGTAGAGAGCAGGGTTGAGAAAGCCCAGAGGTGCCAGCCCCCGTTGCAGGCGCCGGTCATTGATCAGTGCCACCATGCCTGCCACCACCGGTGTGGATGCCTGCATGGACAGAACCCCTCAGCCCAGGGCCCCCCCATCCCGGAGGGCAGCGGGGGATGAGCTCCTTACCGAGGTCCCCGACACCCAGGGCAGTGGGATGCGGTTTGTCACCACCCAGTAGTTGTCAGAGAGCGCAGCCAGGTCAGGGTACGCACGGCCGCTGCTGTTGTAGTAGGAGCTGGGTGGCAGCTTTGAGGCTGAGCGCAGGAATTGCCTGACAGCAGCAGCCTGGGGACGGCACAGCCCGCGGTCATCCCCAAAGTCCGCAGTCATCCCCTAACCCAAACTCTGCAGCCCTGTCTGCAGCCCCCAGCCTGGCAGCGCAGGTGTCCCTCACCTGGTACTCGGGCATGGGGAAGATGTTGCTGAAGCCACCCCCACTGATGTAATCCGTCACCTCCTCTGTCACCAGGAAGGGGTTCTTGAAGGACGTGCCACCCACAGTAGTGACATAGGGGCTGGGGAAACGGGGACACTGCAGCTGGGCACACAGCTGCCTGGGCCTCAGCAGCTACCAACAGCCCCTTCTGCCACCATATAACCTTGCCCCACAAACCGAACAAACCCCCAGGAGCTGCACAGACTGCAGCTCTGGGGTCTGGAAGCATGGTGGTAAGGACCCTCAGGTCTCACACCCAGCTCCCTCCCTCACCCACCTGGAGGCCGGGAAGCTGGGCCGGAACGTGTGGTTCCCACTGTGCACCCGCCGACACCCAGCACCGTCATCACCTGCCAACACAGGTGACAGGTGACCACTGCACACCAACAGATGGCATGTGACCATGGCATCCCAGCCACCCCTCCCACAGCCCCGCTTGGTGCTCAGGCTCCGCCTTGCCAGGCCTTGGCTGTACCTGAGGCAAACAGGATGGTGAGGCCGCGGGCCGCCGCCTTCATGAACTCGGTGTTGACGCGCTCCATGTAGGCAAGGGACAGGCTGTCCTCGTCGTCCCCATAGCTCACTGAGTGCACCCAGGGCAGTGCTGACATGTTGCTGAGCAGCAGCAGCCAGGCCAGAAAGGGCTCCTGGCTCTCGTGGCGCCCTGCAAGGACATTCGGGAAGGGACACGAGGGATAGCTCCTCCAACACCAGGGACAGCGTGAGGAGTCCTGTCTCATCAGACCCAGCACCTTCCTATGCAGTACAGCCCCAGGGGCTCCTTCCTGTGAGCCATAGAGTCACAGCACATCCAGCCTGGAGCTCCATGAGCTCATCTCAGGGCTCCTTACATTGCACCAAGCTTCAGCTCAGCCCACGGGGTTGGCAAGAGGGTCATCCTTACCCCAGGACAGGGAGCTACACTCACACCCCTCTCCAAGACTCTGCTCCAGGGCTGCAGCCATGTGGGCACCTGTGGACCCAGTGGGGCCTCAGCTCCTCCTCTGGCAACAGGTCCCAGCAGAGCAGTGCATGTGCCACCTCCACACATTCCACCTGCACCTGCCCAGGTCCCTCCCTGCCCTCCAGCCCTCTCCACTGGGAGGGGAGCAGAGCCCCAGCCACCCCCACTCACTCTTGGTTGCCCATGTCACTTCCCACACCAGTAACTGTGTGGGGGCGAAGGGAAGGGCAGTGCTGGGCTGCTGTCACTGACACCATCAGGGACAGGGCCACTGTCCCTGTGGCACTCACCTGCTCAGCCAGTTCCCAATCTGGGACATGGACACTGCCCCAAGCACTGTGTTCACATTTGTGCAGGCTGTTTAGCAATTTGTTTTCCCAAATACCCTCACTCTCCCTCATCTGCTCCACTGGGAGACTCGTGGGTGGGAGCTCAGCTCCAGCAAGGCTGGAAAACCCCATGGGAGGAGGGCTGTGCCCTCCTTCATGGGAGCTGAGCAGGACAGCTGCTCCACATGGTGCCAGCAATGAAATCCCTGCTTCAGGATACTCTGGACATTGAAGGTTCACACGGTTCAAAGCCACAACACAAACCAGGAGCGATGTCCCTAGGAGCTGGGAATTCGATGCCAGCTCTGACTTGGGGAGCACACAGAGTGCACTCCCACAGCAGTTAGGAAAGCACCTGGGGCTGTACTACAGCCAGCTGTCTGCACAGTCCTGCAAGCTCTCCCCTCACTCCTCCAAGCAATCCCCTCCCCTCACACCTCCAAGTGCTCACTTCCCTGCTCCAGGCACTCTCCTCACCCCTTCAAGCACTCCCCCCTCCCCCCTGGGGCTCTTCCCCAGTACCTGCATTGCTGAAGACCCAGGTGGAGATGTTGGCACCTGTGCTCATGATGTACTCCACGTCCAGGCTGGCCTCCAGCCCGGCTTTGCCATGGCCCTGGTGCCCCACCACCCGGTCCACCTGCGTGCGGTGGGCAAAGCCACTGCCAAAGAGCTGCATGAACTCTGCCAGGTCAGCTTGGTGGAAGTACTGCTCAAGAAACTGTGGAACACAGAGGGATATGTTGTCTTCTCTTGAAAAAACAACGGAACAGTTGATGCTGACCTAGAAAATTGTCCAGCACAGGTACACCAGGTACTCCCAGCAGCCGAGGGACACCCAGCTGTTCCAAGATTCCCCGAACAGCACCAATCCCTAGGAGTGCCACAGCACACAGGCCTGCAGTTGTTACCTGTGCACAGGCCTGGCTGTTGTTGGGCAGGAGTCCCACGTCCCCCCCTGTCATGTTGTATCTCTGGCGCAAGATGGCCGGTGTCACACCCAGGTGGAACGATGCTCTTGCCAACGGTGGGTCCTTCCTGGCCCTGGCTCCGCTGACTGTCTTGTGCTCCTTGGGGAACCGGTGCATCCCACCCACTGCAGCAGAGCCCAGTGGGATGGGAGAAGCCATCAGGGCGCAGAGTCCCGGGAAGGCAGGACAGAGCCCTCGGGCTCTCCATCACCAGCCCCATGTCTACATGGGCAGGCCAATAGCAGGGCTTGAAAGAGCCCAGCCCTGCAGCCCTGGCCCAGAGGAAGAGCCTCCTCAGCCTTCCCACAGCTGAGCCATGGCCTCAGCTTGGCACCCCTTGCACTTTTCATGGGATTGTCACTGGATCCCATGTAACGGGGATCTGCAGGAGGGAGGTTTGTCCCCCCAGCAGCAGCTGCACCTGAGCTCCGCAGCCTCACCTCCCCCAGGTGGGACGTACCGAAGTCCAGGTGCTCTGCGAGCTCTGCAGGGACAGTGTAGGGCAGTGGGGACCGCACCAGGCTGCGCTGGCCCTGCACGTACCGGTGAAACTCAGCCCCGGGGAGCAGGCGCTCGGCCATACTGCAAACATAGGGACAGCCGCTGTGGGATGGCACAGGACTAGCACAAAGGGACAACCATCAAAGGACAGGATAGGGCCAGCAATGAGGGACAGCCACTACGGAGTGGGACTGGACTAGGACACGAGAACAGCCACCACAGGATGGGACAGTAGTGAGACACAGGGACAGCCACCACAGGGTCACCAGAGCCAGTTCCAGCTCTTAGGGCTCACCTTACAGGCAGGTAACACTCCAGAAAGTCAAGGGTGATGACACTCTGGCAGTCCTCTACACCATGGCCTTGCAGCCATTTCAGAACCGTCATCAGTGTGGATGGGGAAGGCTGGACCAAGTCCCTCACCTGCTCCAGGGACAGGTACTGCCCTGGGAGGCACAGAGGGGTTAGATCCCCTCATAGGCCCCGGGGGTCATGGGGCCTCAGGGATGTGGCTGTTACCGTATCGCGGGGACTGAGGGTCTGAGACAGCCTCCACGAGGCGGGCAAGGTGGGCAGTGCCGCGCTGCCGCAGGGCGAAGGTCAGCTGCAGCGGGTGTCCAGGATCCACACGGCCAGCATGGGCCCAGCCAGGAGGAACGCTGCAGGGTGGGCGGTGAGCGGGGCCAGCACCGGCACCCCAGCCTGGCCCGGCCCGGCACACAGCCCCGGACCTACCGGAAAGGCTGGTC